GCTGTAGTCCAGCAACCCACTGTAGCCGTCATGTTACAGTTCTTTCTTCGTTTCTTTTAATAACACCGTTTGCCTTCATTCGTCAAATTCTATATACTTTTTTCGGACCTACGAGAGCATGAAGTTGATAGTAACCGATCGACCCTTGTACAGGGCTGTTGAGCCACCCTCCTTGAGGTCCATTGTGCAAACTTTAATCAACTGGAGCCTTTTGCCACAAATAAGCTTAAAGGGGAGATGCTACTCGCAGTGCCGTCCTTGCGCCTGATCTGGCTTAGCCATACCTGCAGCGAAAGCACCCTTGCTGCCGTCACCCGGCCTTGTGACCATGGTTGGACTGGGCGCTTGACGTCGAGTCCTGCGAGAGCGGTATCGATCAACACTCACAGACGATCAATGACACGTCACAGATCAAGACGTATATTGCCTGACTAACTACCGCGTCAATTCTGAGATCGACTTGTGATCCAACACTCAATCCTAAACTGGACCAGAGCACTCATAAGACCGTTGGCGTCATTGCAGCTCGCCCCTCCCCGGGCGGCAGTGCACTCAACAAGGGGGTTATCATTGCACGTAAGAGAGCCAACAACTCGGGCCGTTCCCGAATACCTGCAGTTGCTGAATGAGTCTATATCGAAAGCCGGGAGGCTATCCGGATACGGCCGGGGCGATGTGTCCTCGCGTCCGCTGATGAACCTTTGGTCGCAGATGCCACCGGGAAGTAAGACATTTTTGAGGTTGAACACTTGGTACGAGTCGATGACCTTCTTGTTAATCATCACCGACACCATGGTGATCATGAAACCGGCTTTGCGCGGGGCCACGGGCCGGGGCGGCTTAGGAGGCTCGGGGATCCATCTTGGATCGCCCTCGCAAGCGCATCCGAAGTAGTTGCCCGCGCAGATGGGTTTGCCGTTGTTATAGATGCCGTTGCAGCCGTTTGCCGAGCAACTCTGCTGAGCTCCACATGTGGCCTAAGGTTTCCCGTATTAGCACAAACCCTGTCCCATTGGGCTTCAAGTTGATTCGGGGGCATGAAAGCGGCAGGTCGGAGCCTCGTCAACGCGCTGATGCTGTCCACGTACCGGGACTGGATTACACACGCAACCCGCAAAGCTGCCGCGGCAGCGTGCGACATTGGACTGGTTGTCGAAAGTGCCGTCGCAATTGTTGAGATCACAAGCTTGCGCCGTGCCACAAGTTCTCTGTCACACGGTGAGCACGACGATATTCAGATCAGAGCAAAGTCTACTGCGTTCTGAGGCCGCAACAGCTCGGGTCGACTTACAGAAGAGGGGTTGCATTCGCACCCGCGGAAGTTGCCCTGGCACCGGGCCACGCCGTTCGAGTCATAGCCGCCAGCACATCCGTTGTTGTCACAGGACTGCTTCGGACCGCACGTGTTCGAAGTCGCCTGGCAGACGCAGCCGTTGAAGAAATCGTTGCACTGCGGGGCTGGGCACATTACCCCAAAACGTCCCGTCGCAGTTGTTGCGATCGCAGGGCTGCGGCGTTCCACAGGTTGCCGCGTTCGCCTGGCACTCACACCCTTCGAAGTTCTGAGTGCACCAGGCCTTTCCGTTCGACAAGTCAAAGCCACCACCACACCCGTTCATGCCGCAGCTCTGCGGAGGACCGCACGTGCCCGGCGTCGGCGCGCAGTCGCAGCCCCGGAAGAAGTTGGTACACTTTGGAAACGGCATGTTGCCAGCGAAAGCACCTGCACAATTGTTGTTGTCGCAGCTCTGTCTGGGCCCGCAAGTGGTTGGCGTCGCGGCGCATTCGCACCCTCGAAAGTTCTGGCGACAGTAGGCTCTGCCGTCGGATAGGTCGAAGGTACCGGCACAGCCGTTGAGGTCACAGGACTGCGGAGGACCGCACGTCTCTGGCGTCGGCGAGCACTCACAGCCCTCGAAATTGTTAGAACACTGGGCGTACGGCTGGTACCAGTTAAAGGCGCCCTCGCACCCGTTGCGGTTACACGGCTGTCGCGGACCGCATATTTCCGGCGTCACGGTGCACTCGCAGCCCTCAAAGTTGCCACTGCACTTGGGATACTTGGCGAGACCGTCGAATGCTCCGGCGCAGCCGTTGCGATCGCAGGGTTGATGAGGGCCACAGATCTCAGCCGTGACTGCACACTCACACCCTTCAAAGTTGCCAGTGCACTTGGGATATTTCGTGAGTCCGTCGAAAGCACCGGAACAACCGTTACGGTCGCACGGCTGGCGTGGACCACAAATGTCTGGCGTTACCGTACATTCGCAGCCTTCAAAGTTGCCAGTGCACGTGGGATATTTGACGAGGCCGTTGAACGCCCCGGCGCAGCCGTTACGGTCACAGGGTTGATGCGGACCGCATATCTCGGGCGTGACATTACACTCGCAACCCTCAAAGTTGCCAGTACATGTGGGGTACTTGGACAGGCCGTTGAAAGCGCCCGCGCAGCCACTCATCTCGCAACTTTGGCGCGAGCCACATGTCTTTGCCGTTTTCCGGCATTGGCAGCCCTTTCTGGGACCAGACTGACAGGTTGGAAACTTGGAGAGGCCATCAAAAGTACCGTTGCAGTCGCTGTCGTCACAGCTCTGAGGCGCAGCACAGACGGTGCCCGTTGGGTCCGGTATGGCGGTGAAGGTGACAGGGCTGGTCAATATGGTCACGATGTTCCTGGGCCCAAGACCAGGCTTAGAGACGGTGGCCGCTGACGAAGGTGGCTCTGCGCACACTTTGGCGTTGACACAGTCTCGGTAGGCTGTGTAGAGATGTACTGCGAAAGCCTGGCCCTCGGAAGATCCGTCGTAGTATTGCTTTCTGTCGAGCCACGCATAAGGGTTGACCGCCGGGACGAAAACACCGTCACGACCCTGTCGCACAGAGAGCGATTTGCGGTTGGTGTCCGCCCAGGTGATGTACCGCTGCGGAAACATGGCTGGGTCGTTGATGGCCATCCGATACGCCACAGCCGACAGCATTGCTGTGCCAGAAATCTCGCCGAACCAGCTGTCATCGTTTAGGTAGTTGCGCAGCAGGCCACCATCAAACCCGGAGAGCATTGCGCCGTCGAGAATCTGTTTGATCCAAGTTTTGAGCTGTTGAGCTTGCCACGACATCGAGGCGGACCTGGGCCACTTCTGCAGCGTGTGAAGAACGCGCACCATGCCATAGCCTGCCCAACCGTTGCCTGTTGACCAGAGCCCATAGTCTGGGGACATTGGGCCGACAATGTGACGCCAGTTCAAGGTCCCGCTTGGTTGAAGGACGTCTCGATATAGCCCACACTGACGCACAGCCTCTGCCATCAGAGAGGTGTCGTCGTCTTGACGGCCTGATACGCGACTGTTGACCGTATTCAGTTGAAGTCCTCGCTTGCATCATGAATCTGGCGTATGGGTGTGGGACTTACGGAAAGGGAAGGACATGGCCATGTTGTCAATCCACAACTCAGCTTCCTCCGACCTGTGTGAAATGGCGCCGTTGCTCCACCTCGGGGCCGAATTCAATAAGTACTCAGCCTGCCGCTTAGAGGCGCCGAGGTATACATTCTCTGACTGTCCTAGTAGGATAGCCGAAACCCCAAGGGAAGCGGGATCACCCACGGCGCTGTCGCTGACTAGAATCTGCGAGTTTCGGTTGATGCACCGCCGCGCGTATCTCAGAGCGAACGTTGACGGGTCCGCTTTGGGAATCTTGCCTCCAGGGAAGGGCTCGGGTCCAAATACGGACAGCTCTGGGTTATAGAGCTCTAGTAAAGCTTCCGCGGCGGTACCCCATTCCCATGAATGAGAGGCTCGGTCGACCATGACCTGGGCTGCCGTGTAGGCGTTGAACCCGGCGTTGACATCATTGGCAACGGTGATGCTGGCGAACATCGTCAAGAAAAACGAAGAGAGACGTAATACAATAGGCATTTTGTCGACTGTGACTCTCGTCTACGTCACGAACGAGAGCTCTACTTCCTTGTAGAAGATCACGAATTGGTTAAATGGCGAAGGATATCACTTGGCCACGAGAAAAATGTACCTTCTTAATCTCGAGACGGCGACTTGCACGTCTCCATTGCCCAGTTCATCACTGGTCAAGCAAAGCATCGGAATTGCGGCTCAGTTGATGACCCTGAATCATGCGGTCAGCACAACAAGAGGATTGAGTGTAGTCGGGTGGGTTTCAATGTACGCTTCCGGCTTTGCCTACTTTGGAAGTTGATGCCGCTCTGGTACGAGCCGGCACGTCTTATTGGCTGGTATTGCCTTCAACGCTTCGCCGCTGATTCCAAATCCTTTGACAGATTTCTCAATGCATACAAGCCATGCAATCTCGTATGAGCATCGGTAAGGTGATGAGGGGGCAAAGACGGCGATAGCCGACTGGTTCAACCTCCGCGACATGGTGGGAAGTGTACGATGCAGTCAACCCCATTCGCCAAGATTCTTTATCCGAGTTGAGCTGAACCATTTCCAACTGCCCGTCTTCGTAAAAGCTGACCACAGGTGTGTACTGCCTGCAAGTAAGCAGCATGGTCTGGACCCTAGGTGGCCACCGCAATGTCGGCCGCTTCTCATCAGGGACTGGCTAGCCAGGGGGTAGATGCTCTCGTCTTGCCCAACTAACAAGCTGTTATCAAACCTTGTTGACGTATCGGAACACATCAAAGACTTCCAGAAACGCAATGAGAGTCATGTTCGCGAGCTGACCAGTCCGGAAGCGCCGCAATCCCTGAGTCGGAATGCCAGGCCGAGGAGCCGACAACGGGAATGACACCCCATATGTATGCAGTCCGTACATGGATGCCACGCCTCAAGGTACCCAGGGATAATCAGTGACAGAGGTTTCTCACGTGTCAGATAAAGTCGAGGTTCTCAGATATTCTCGGTTGGACATGCAATCAGGTCATATACATCAAATCCGCACCGTCACTTGCCGCCTCAACTACATCCCCAACCAGTGACTAGAGGCCTTGACACTTCTTTTCAGATATCCAGCATGATCCTTCGCCTCCTGAATCCGTCCATGTTGCATGGAATCGCCGTTCTTTTGAGCCACGCACCTATTGCTTCGGCTTTAACTTCTCAGCTAGAGATCACGCGGCCGTTGAACGCCTCTGTGAGCTACGGCGATCTATCTCGGCGTGCTTCCCGTGATCCCTCTTGCCCAGATGGTTTCCTTTGCTCCCAAACGACTTGTGGAGAGAATGCTGTGTGTCCCGGTAACCGCACTTGTGTCGATTTCGAAGGCACAATCGGCTGCGCGGTGCCAGGTTTATCGTGGTGTGCTCTGAACCCCATCACCTTCGAGGCCGTAGGGTGTGACGGTGGTGTTTGCTGGTAAGTTCCACACCAGAATACAACGAGCCTTGCCCCTGA